AGAAATTTAGCATAGAAAGACTATTATTTGCGTTGTAGAGCCGTAATGGTTTGTTATTTTCTAGTTTTTTTGAGGATATTAAGGTTGAAAATTACCCATAGGCAATGATTGTTTTCATAGCAGTTATTCTATGATAACGAGACATTCGAAGGAGAAGTAGCCCACAGACACAAGTTAAATTTACGTTTTAAGGATGCCAAACACTTTTTTATCATCATCCGTGATGATTGAAATATTCTATAACACATCGAAGAGAGCATGCGATGAATGAGACAATCTGCTGAATTTCCTGATGATGATATCCGTTTCGATGAAGTTTCTAGTTAAAATCGCTCAGGTGATTGCAATTTATAACCTAACTTATTGTGCCTGTAGAGATGCCATGCATTCCTTGTAAACACCCGTTTATACGACATATTAAATTATCATTTGCTTGGTGCTATACTTTAGAAGAGAAACAATGTGTGTGACAGTGAAAACCGCAGAAGAATGCTGTCATTACCAAAGAATGAGAGAGGAAAAGGAACCTTTTTCAGCAAAAGTAGGAAAATATAAAGCGTTTAACTTTTACATTACTTATTTCTAACTTCAACGATTTAGAAATTACACTTTATTCACTTACTTGCAGATGTTCAGTGAAGTCAGTCACCTGGTCACAGCAAATACGCATCCCCGAAGTAATTACGAAAAACAATTGTGTAAAGACATTCGCTTATTATTTTTCACTAAATATATTTAACATCCTGCTTATCATACTTTTTTTATTCTATCTCAGTGAAACTAAATTTGTCAATATGACGAGATGGAGGCCTGACCTACCAATGAGACCTGAGAAAGTAATTGTAGGCATAATTCAACGTAAGCGAAATCGTACTAATATTGCTACAGCTCAACCTATTAAGTTAATCGTCTCGTGTAGACTTCATTTTACATTATATGTTAACACCCGTAGTCATATGGACTGATATCACGCTTTAAGTGAAATAATAGTAATACACTACTTGTGATTATACTTAACTTCATACGAAATTGAACTCAACTGCAGGGCCTAAGTTGTATTCTTATTTTTCAAATACTGAGGTTAGGTATTTTTGTCATTAGTCCCTACAGATTTATCTGTGATTAGGAGACGTAATCGCGTGACTTTAGGCAGATTTTTAGACTTGAATGAAGTACTTATAATTCACCACTTTTATCGATGGATAGTGTTCCTACAGAATTGCACTTACGTATAGTAACGAATTCATATCCTAGGGAGCACCGGTCTAGCATGCCGTACTCCCAACGCGAACACACGAACAGAAAGACAACAATGTTAATGGGAAAAGCCTTTTTATTGTAATACGATAGTAGTTAATTTACACACTAGGAAAATGGTCCATTTGTGCGATTACTTCTCCCGCGTAATCTGCAGCAACCACATAGTGAGTGCAGGACAACTACATTGTTAGCATTAAATGACTTCCTCACTTTTTGAAATTCTTCTAATGAATTCTCAAATTTCTCCCAGCTAAAGAAACGCCTTCCCAGCATTACTTCACCGAAAATTCCACTGACGTGTGCAATGATTTCACTCGCATTGCCTACCCGCAATAAACTAAAAAGGCTTTGTCAATAAGTATCCGTCTGTCTCGCGACTGTTCAAATATAATTCCGTAGAAAAAGCAATATTGAAATACATCACTGAGCAATATCTATCAATAAAATGCTAAAAGTATAACCTAAAATTGAGAAAGGCCCAAGAGCTCACGGGTTCCTTGACATCGCTAGCAACCGATAGGCCAACAAACCGAGTATGTGATAAACCAAGCCTTGTATATGCACAAAAGAAGTAAAATAAAACGTGAGAATACTCAAATTTTACATTTATTTTCATCAAATATGATTGTAAACAAGGCATACCTCTCCACACTGTAATAGAACACAAACAATTACACAGGTCAAGCACGCAGAGTAGAGCGGAGAAGCAGAACACGACTTGAGAAAAAGAACTTTATAATTGACACTGAATTACACCAACAGAAGTCCAAATTTATATACATGTAGGTACAAAGAGCTACGCTATTACAGTTCAGCGTCCACCGGTTTTTGAACTGACGCTTTCTTTCAAACTTGAACCACTACACACCCAAACCTGCACACGATATCACCTACCTAGGACAAATTAAATATAAAAGTAGCCGCCACTGTTCCAGCCAATGAAAGACGAGAAAACCTGAGGCGCGGAAAATTTAACACGTTATAACGTATATCATCACCTTGCGTTATACACTTCAAAAGTCTATAGATTAACTGTAAGTCAGTTTATTCTGACAGAAGTTCGTTTACGTTTCAGTTTTGAGTCTATTAAATTCAGGAAGTTATGTTCTTATAACTTAATAATTACATATATATATCCATTTTGCACACATCGGCTTTTTATCATTGATTTATAAAGGTTATATATATAAAGTCATATTTAAATAGTTTTTCCCCAGTTCGCTTTAAAAAGCATGCCGATCAAAAGGAACCGCTGTTATGTGCCGATTTCCAGTGGCTGAGGGAATGCAGTGTGACAAATGCAAGAGATGGTTTCATAGCATGTGCACAAACCTAACTTCTGCAGCATACAAACGCTGCTTCAGACTTCTGGCAATCTGGTTGAGCAGTGACCACTAAATTTCGTATAACGGAAGCCATTACCATTCTCAGTGGGGCTCTAAAGCTCCTGGAGTGCAAAGATCTTCCACCACAGGAGAGAGGCGACTACTGCTCAGTCACCGAAGACGTGACTTGGTTCATCGATAAAACAGTACATGTTCCTGATGCGTTTCTGTCAATGAGTGAGTGCCATTCAACACAGAAGAGTACCCACCATATCCCAGAAACCCACGCTTCCCCCACGTTACCGGAAAAGCCCTCCAGTGACGGTAACGGAAAGAATACCACGAAGAAGATGCACACAAGGGGTCGAAAACCTGCAACTCAAGTCCCCCAGGGACTGGTCGATCAAGCCTCATCCACGGCGAATAGCAGGCAGACAAAACCAACTACGATTAATGAGGAGGACGCCACTGAATGTCGTATTGTAGTCTCTCGCAGAAAGCGAGATAAGGACAACACATTGACTGTATATGAATATCGCGAATAAAACGTCCGACGGCGTCCCAAACCTGACTATTGACAATCGCACAATCGAAGAAGAGCAGGGAAAAGCAGAAGCAGTGGCGGACTACTTCTCCGAAGTCTTCACACAGGAGTCATCACTCCCTATAGGATCAGCTCTGGCTGCGTCAGAGGAACATGGGATAATTTCCATTGACATCGACCAAGGCGTCGTGCTCAACTGCCTAATGAAACTAGATGCAGTGAAATCAATGGGTCCTGATAATCTTCATCCAAGGCTTCTCAAGGAGCTATCAGCTCACACAGCCGGCCGATTGACCATGATCAAGCTCTCTCTCCTAAATGGATTGTTACCGCGTGAGTAGAAAGATGTCACAGTAACCCCCATCCACAAGGGAGCATCAAGACAAAGTCCTTCAGATTACAGGCCTATTAATCTCATCAGCACTTCAATCAAGACACTGGAAAGAATAATCAAGAAAAGCATCATGGCATATCTGGAAAACAGAAGCTTGTTATCCAAAGCACATCATGGCTTCCGAAGGAAGCTCTCATGCCTGTCAAATCTCCTCACTATAAGAGAAAGCTGAGTAAAATTAAGGGACAACAGAAGACCCGTTGATGTCGTCTTCATAGACTTCAGCAAAGCCTGTGATAAAGTACCTCACAAAAGACTGCTCATGAAGTTGGAAAGTCTTGGCATCAAAGGTAGATTACTAAACTGGCTCAGGGAATTCCTCATAGATAGGAGGCAGAGGGTTAGGACTAACTCGAAACTCTCCTCTTGGACAGCAGTGCGTAGCGGAGTGCCACGAGGCACGGTACTCGGGCCTTTCCTGATTGTTTTTTATATCAGTGAGTTATCTCTGCTCACCGACTACCCTATGGTCCTATCCGCAGATGACTTAAAAATTTGGAGACAGCTGAAGGGCGGCAATGATACACTCATGTTGCAAGAGGACTTCAACAAATTGTCAGAGTGGTCCAGAGGATGGATTCTCCCTATCAATGTAGCAAAACGTGTGCGTTTGACAAGCAAGCATCAGCTCCTAGGAACTAGAGGGAATAACACTCCCATCAGTTCAGACCCAATGGATTTAGGTGTCATAGTTAGTCACGGTTTAAAAACTACAGCACACTGTGGCTGCACGTAGTTTCAGGTCCTTGTAGGAAATTTGCAAAGCCTTTGCTAGAATCATCAGAGATATGTTTACCTACTTAAATACATCTCTGGTGATGTCAAGACTGGAAGACTGTATCCAGGCAGTCAGTCCTTGTGTTAAAAGGGACTCACATATTCTAGAAAGGGTTCAAAGGAAGGCAATGCATATGGTTCTCGGCATAACTAATTTATCATACGAGGAAAGACTAGACAGTTTAAATCTCTTCTCCCTGTCATACCGTAGGCAGAGAGGAGATTTAGTCGCAATGATTAAATTCCATATTAGTTTGTTTATTAGATGTATCACACAGTGAAACAGTATTATCTACTGGATAGTAAATAATACTGTTTCACTGTGTGGTTCATCTAATAAACAAACTAATATGGAATTACTTACTGCCACAGTGCCCAAGTTTCACACATATATTTAACACAATGTTTAAAATTTTAAATGATGGCTACGTACCTGATCTATTCTCTCTTTTCCTTTCCACCAGGTTGAAACATCTTAGAGGACATAGTAGGAGAGTTCAAAAGACAAGAAGAAATCATCTAGCTGTTGAGCACTGATTCTCACACCGAGTCACAAACTCATGGAACCGACTCCCAGAAGAAGTGTTATCTACAACCTTAACTGATTCATTTAAGAAGGGTTTGGACAGCCACAGAAATTTACTAGACAAGGATTAACATAGGCTCGAAGGTTTCTATACTCAACCAGCAAATTTGAAATCTGAGTGTGTTTAAGTGAGCTCTCTGTGTTAGCGGGTCAATCGTCGTTGGTTCCGTGTCGTCACCTTTGACTCTTACTTAGGTTATGGCGGCGGTGAAATATAAGATTATCATCAAATCACCCAATGACAAAATACCAAGTCAAGCTGTTGAATGTCTTCCTGAATGGAAGGTGAAAGACCTGAAGTCCTATCTGTCGGAGCATCATCCTGCTCGACCGAATCTTTCGTCACAAAGACTCATTCACGCTGGGAAGCTTTTGGGAGATGACCTGACGATATCCAGCATATGTGATAATGTAAGACTTTTACTTATTGGCCATTGGTAGGCTGATGGCTTCCAAACTATTCACCTAGTGTGTCCCAACCCGAAGCCATTGGCTTCTACAGACGTTATGTGTGGAAAAACAGATGATATCTGGTCGTAAGTTTAACTCGTTTGGTCTTTGTGGTCTGTTTTTACATTTAACTGGCTTATAATTACATTTTAAAGCAAATATGACAAAGTAGTCAAGATTTAGTCTATGACGAACACGTGTCGGAAGTCCTTATATATTTGCTCATGGGTGACTGGAATATCACTGGTGTGTTTTTGGGTGATAAGTTTTTCCAGTGATAAATTAATGAAACTGTAAAGTTCCTCAGTTTTGTTCGTCACTGTAGTGTATTTCAGCGTTTTGATGTGTACTAACTCGTTATTTGCAATACTGAACTTAACTTTAGACATTAAGCTACCAGGTTTTTCCTACTGTTAGACTTCCGAATTACCTTCGGTTTTAGGTGGCTCCGTCCAGACTTACCACTGTTAAATTGTCCCTAAATATTTGCGTCCACATTCATTGTATAGTCGACCTGTTGCAAGGGTAACTTTAATTGTTAGCGAGGCTATATTTGTGCTGGGAATGAGTCTATTTGAAAATGTCAAAATAAATTTCAACATTATTATTGGTTTCGTTTGAATTTACAGGCAGCCCGAAAAGGCGTTTAATGAATGCCTTTTTCTCAGTATTTTCGGGTTAATGCTGTAGTGATATCTTTTACTGTGGGTATGATGATTTGTAATTCAGATGGATGATACTGTCTAGAAAAGTTGATAGCTTCGCCTCCAAACCATCCATCTTAGAGAAAAATAACACCAACTTTAATTATGTCCACGTTCATACTGTGTTGTCTTGTCAGCATAAAGATACAGGCTACACCCATTATGTGAAGGTGATTGTAATGCTTAGCTACCCAGACTAAAGTAGATGGAGTGAGATTCATACTAATAACTCGAGCACTTAAGCCATTGAGATAGTGAGATTCAAAGACACCCTACCATCCTACTCTGTTTTAGTTTTCATGTTAACTTGAGTGCTTTCGCTAATATTAGCTGAATAATTTTTAAAAAATATTTTAGGAAGCTTGTTATATCGTTCGTTTAATAATTCAGTTAGTTTTAATAGTGTGAATTAATAATTTTAATTGTTTCCAAAGAAAAAAATCATGAAGCAATTTTTGTATATTGGCTAATTTGAAATCTAATAATATGATAAACTACTGGACTCTCAAACCAGCTCATCTGAATTCCTAGATATGATTTTACTAACACGAAGCAGATATGTCAGTCAAATCTGATTAACTGTAATGTCTGCAACATGTTGCATTCACGGAAATAACTTTAATTTCCCATGTTTGTTTTGACAACGATGAGTGGGCTTCTGAAACAAGAAAAGTCGAGCTGTCACCAGCAGTCTCAATCCACTGGCTTTGAGTATCTCAAAGACATCCCAAAGTGGCTAATACTTCATGGATTGATGCCCTGTTTTTAATTTGACTACCCATAAATCTTTTCCAACCTATTCTGATATCAGCTAATATTTCTTGACGAGGAATTCGATGGATCGATATATACCAGCCGTATAAATTCATGCTGCTTCACAACCTCATCATGTAACGTCACTATTGCTTACCATACACCGCAAACGGAGTGACAGAACGCCAACACCTAAGATGAAGAACTAACCTCTGCATGACTCTCTACGGCCATGCCTCAACCCTGATAGAGAATGGAGCGTACTGCTGCGTAGTACACACGTTCCCTGATTAATATGAGGATATCGCTGCTACACCAGAGATGACATAAGTGAGAGATTGCTAGAAGAGCCTTTCTTTTCCGCTCTGAAATTTCGTAAGCAGTCAGTTCATTAGGGTTGGTGTAACTTCCAAAATAAGTTAGGTGATCATGACGCTCAACCACTCCCTATATTTAAACTTGGATTCTGTGTAAACTTGTCCTGAAGCATCACATCTGACAGGCTAGTTTCATGCCAGGCGCAGCAAGATTTCAGCTCAGCAGGTTCAAAATAGTCCACAGTTTCTTAGCGTTTGCACCTAAGAAGATAATGTCATTTGCTTACTATGGTAACTAGTCAATCTTCAAGTCTCTAAAGTCGATTAGGGTCACATTCACTCATAAATCCTTGATAAAATTAAACAAAAATGAAGATAGAGCTCCGTGATGGACACCAGTGCTTGTCATTACTTTGGATGACAATTCTCCACAAGCCCTTTAACAGCTGCATGAGTTTGAGCAGAACACCTTGATTACTGGGATATATTTCCTCGACGCTGCTTTCAGGTCAGGTGTTGTTTGCCGGTAAATATGCGTGTGTTCCAGAATCTGCCGAAGTGTAAATACATGGTCAGTACACCTTGATCCAAGCCTAACCCTACCTGGTTTTGTCTCAGCTGTCTTATCTACATACGATTATTGAAACTGGTCAAGCAAATCTATCTGTGATTATCACAAAAGTTATCTGTTTTCTAGTAAACTAGGATAATTCATGATTTACACTAGTCCAATGGGACTTTATCTGATTCCCATTCGGTACATAATGTCTTAATCCAGTGGATGAGTCATCACCACTTTTAAGCACTTCTGAAGGCATTTCACCACGTCCTGTTGCTATACCTTGTTCAAAATTAGAGGCAGCTTTTACAACCTGCAACAATGAAAAAGCGATTTCTACATCCCGAACAGGTAGGTGTTCGACCCATAGCAAGTTTAGCGTGGCTGTAAGCTTGTTAAACCGCCTCTCAAAGTGTCCCGTCCAACGTTTCAGTCTATCTTGAGCAATAATTAAAGCATGGTTCTTGGAAATTGTTTCGCTTATCACTGGTGGGTTTGTTGTTACTCATCACCGATGCCTTTTCCTCTTCTGACTCGTCACCCACTACTGTTCACATTCGCTCAGTAGACTTGGGCAGCTTTCTCTCCTCGTCCTTTAAGACTTTCTACAGCTGACTGGATATTATGCCAAACTTCAAGATTAGTCTTGCGTTTCCTTATTTCTTTCCTAAATGAAGAATTTGTGTCTTTAAGTTGGTAACATATCAACTTCATAGCTGTCACTTTCCTATGTCCGTTCAGTCGCAGGCATATAAATGCATGGAATGAAGGGTGACTGAAATCAACACAGGTATTTCAGAAGTAACGACAGTCTTCTACTGACCCTCCCTATATATAGCTCATAGGTACGTGATCTATCAGAGGTCATTGCTGATTTGATGAAGGTCTCCAGGTTACGCAGTATCTCGTTATGCTCGATTCCAATGTTGACCAGGAACAGACGATTATCCAGAAACAACTGTAACAAACGATCACTGTTATTAAACGGAACTCCACTAATATACTTTTCTGACTGACAAAGCTTCCCTGTTGGAGCGTTCAAGTCAACTTTTATAACATCTGTATCTGAGCATGTTGCTTTTAGCCGCATAGTGGTCTTTTGATGAAACCATTTACTCCGTCTGAACTGCAGTTGGTTGAGGTGTAAGTGGAGATTTTGAATAGTTATCTTTCCTAATGACGGCTCTGTTCAAACGGATAACACACATATGACTGTTGACTAATCCAGTTAGGTAGGAATTCTTTTTGCTGTGTTACCCAACGATATTCCTAAACTGGCAAGTGCACGCAAAGTAGCGGAAGAATCTTCGGACACTTAAGGTAAATTATGCAAATTCACCATGTTGATCAGGTGGGGTTTAGCAAGTAACTCCATTTGGGTTATGTCTGTATACGTCAGCAGCACAGTGGTTAGGACTCTCGCCGACCATGCACATGGTCCGGCGTTCGATCCCCTGCCGACGCACACCCGATATCTATGGCCGGCCTGCAAAATTTGGGCTAACGATGTCCATACTGAAAATTCCATACTTGTACTGAAAATACGGTGTAGCATCAAGCTGCAATCAAAAATATTTTTAAAAAATTTACATCCATATCTCAAGGTGATGTTCTTCCATATTAGTTCGTTTATTGGATGTATCACACAGTGAAACAGTATTATTTACTGGATGACGTTTTGAACAAAATTTTTTGTTCATAATCATACGACTTCGAAACTTGAGTTTTATAGTTTTCTTTTTTCTCTCCTATTTGTCGTAGGAGTAGTAGAATTTTCCAGATGTCTGGGAGAGGTGTTGAATCGTTCCTATTACACGTATTTGCAGTTGACAAATAGGAGAGAAAAAAGAAAACTATGAAACTCAAGTTTCGAAGTCGTATGATTATGAACAATAAATTTTGTTCGAAACGTCATCCAGTAAATAATACTGTTTCACTGTGTGATACATCTAATAAACAAACTAATATGGAATTACTTGCTACCACAGTGCCCAAGTGTTACACATATATTAGTGGTGTTCTGGTTAACGGGGCCTGATATCCGAGGTTGCAGAGTCCTGAGGTCGAATGCTTTATTATGAAATTGACGTGACTTTAAGATACTGGTCGCAAAGTTAAGAGAGCGTGTAGGAACTGCTTGTGGAATGGCGGGGGTAGGAATCAAAACACACATTACTAGGAAAACCTAGTGTGCTCATAAATCCTTGTGAGAGATTATTACTCATCGGCTACCCATACTGTGGAAGCTGATTTCTTGAAATGCCTGAAAAAGTTACATGATTGCGGAGTCCAGGGGACAAATGGTTAAGGTGAGTTACACACGGTCTATCTGAAGTCGTTTTGCAGTTGCGTCCGTAATAAAATCTTACTGCCGCAACATAAGTTGGGAACATTCGTTTCAGTTAGTGTAACTTCTTTGGTCATTGCGATATATAAGCCTGATTACCACGTCAAGGTAACAGCTGTCGGTCGGGATTTTGGGTAAGTAAAACACTGGAGAACTTTACACACAAATGAGTAAGTTAAGTTTGTTAAATATTGCTGCAACACTAAGGGAATGCTTACAAATGCAATAATAATATCGTTTGCGAAAATAGGTGAGGCAGTGTTGTGTGACTGTTGAATAGTGTAGAAGTCCATAAATTTATATCTACGATGTATTGATAGATATGTGTTAATCAGGCAACCGATCAGATTATGCTGTTTCACTTTTTGAATATTAGATATAATATCACATTATTTCTCTATCGGAGTGCACGTTCCAATATAATTGTTAGTCTTCTCATTTGCTACTTGGGGTTAGGGAAATCTGCTAGTCACTTGTCGAGTGTTGACGATAATTAACTACAATTCTTACGGCAATTATGACAAAGAATACGTTGATAAATTTAAATGAAGTGTGAAGTCCTGCAGATCGATTCCCACAATTATAGTTTGATATGTTCAACCGCTGGTTCTCAAAGATTAATCACACTCTTTAGAGTAGCAATCCAAGTAAACAAATCACTTTCACAGTTTTGTCCTATCTAGTGCAGGAGCATTTTGAACTAGTTTCAGTAGATTTCTGTTTTGAGTAATGCACATAAGATATTGTGAAAATATGAAAGCAGGAGGAAGTCATTCAGGAATCCATTTCTGTTACAAAATATGGGACGCTTTGTCGATGTAGTGTGCACTTATTTTGTCAGTAGTTAATACCGTATAGTGTACAGACAATTATAATGTTTCGTTTCAAGTTAGTTGTCTAGCTAATGGAACATATCTAAATAGTCATTGAGATCGACTGTGATCAGTTCCTCCTGTTAAGATCTATTTTCGCGATATAATTTATTATTTATAATGTTTATTAATATATTTTTTCGAACTCCTGTTTGGAATGCAATGAATTTGTTTAGATGCTTTGCAGTGCTGTTTTTGTTTATTGCAGTGATATATCACCTGAGCAGTTGCACGCGTATCAACAGGCATATTATCAATATTTACAAACTTTTTACATGGAGTGTCCTGCTAATCAAACAGACCATTATATGCAAAACTGCTACTGGTCGTACGCTTTTGGAACAGGTATGAAGACGATTTTATGCAGTTTTGTATATGATGACTGGTAATAAAATATTTAGGCGTCAGGATAAGCACTAATGAACTTATAATTCTGATACAAAGTGTCAGCTGAAATAGTTTTACGAGTGATTGGACCACATGTTTCAGATTAGTTTTAACAGTGACTCATCAGTATTCCGTGTCAGTACGTGACAAGTTCATTTTATATTTCAAAAGTGTTGTCATTTTGGTAACCAGGCAGTTATTAGTAATACGTGCAATGCAAGACTTAAGTAGTGAAGAGAATTCGCACTATTATCCAGTAGAGTAAATAGAGGTTCCTTCCTGATGCATAGTCCCATGTCTTTATGGTAGCCTGCTCTTAGACATGGATTCCTTCTATGCTCTGAGCCTTTATTTTAAAAGCGTTGAAATATGTACTCATCTTGTAGTTGTGTGTTATTACTGGTTCACTAGGGGTTGCACCATATATGCTTCCTGGAAGTCCGGACTTACCCAACGTGTTAACAAGTGCACCACAAGTATCAAGCCTCCCTACCCAGGGAACACTAAATGACTCATCTAATAATTTTCAACCTTTGATGCAGAGAGCACAAGCATTTTTATCTAGTTGGGCAGTTTCTAACTCTAATCAGCGCCAGCAGGAAGCGAATGAGGCAGCTCCGAATGAAGATGCAGTGAATGACCAAAGAGCTGATCGTGGCGAACCACAAGTTGCTCAGCAAGTTATTGTATTTGATAATGCAATGAGAAATAATGTTCGACAAGATGAAGAGGGTGAAGGAGTGGAAAACATGGATATTATCGATCGTTTTTATATGCTCTTCCGCCTATGTCTTTTTGTGGGGCTCTGTTTTGCATATTCATCATTAGACAAGGCAGTCATTGTGTTCTCAGTGGCTGCTTACGTATACATGTAAGTTCATCATTTCTCTCTGTCATGCTATTATGTAAAAATAAACGTTAACAAGCTTTAGAAAGACTACATAATTGTCATTTTTGAACTCGTACTATGTTAAGCAAACCAGATTTCTTACTTGAAACCAGCACCTAATAGGATGGTTCGTTTAGTCTGAGAGTAGGAAAGATAAGGTATAAACGTCAATATCAATTCTTTCTAGTCTTAATTATTCTTTTCGAATGCAAAAGAAATGTTTCAGTTGCGATACCATAATTATTCTTGGTGTAATTAGTTAGAGATTCACAGATTGTTAATAGAAAAGATGTACATGAAAGTCTTCATTTTCCGGGTAACTTTCAATGCAACTGCAATGTTGAAACATTAAAAAAAATCCAAGTTTCATAAATATACTAAGTGGTATTTATTATGTCTACGAGATCAACTTTACAGATGAATAATAACTAATTAACCAAGTTTAATAAATACCTAGCCATCACCAGAATGTCACATTAATAGGATTGTCAGAAGACAAGATAGACTAATCTTCCAACTAATCAATCAAGAATGTCAACTGTTGAGTGTGTTTAAGTACATTGCGATTCCAATGTAATACTTAGGCAAACTATTATTGCTAACACAGCATTTCGTTTCCAACCCAATTCTGACATTTTTAGTAAGTGTTATGATTTCCATATACAGCATATCGCAGTAGTAAGTGGGGTAATTTTTCTTTTGTGATCGAGAAACGATGTTAAATAGATTCGCATAGATTCAGAACGTCTTCACAGCCAAAATTAAGTCCTTATAACTGAAATGCACTGAACAAATACGATTTCAAAGTGTAATTTCAGTGCTGCTTGAACATGTTAATTCAGGTAGAGGGAAACTCTGTAACGACTAGTATATGTAATCATTTTGCCTCCATGAAACTATTGGCATGTAAAAGTATATCCTTAACACAGATAAATTATCGCATTTTCACTATTGTACTGGCATTTAATTACAAATCAAATGCAAACTTCATTATTGGTTATTGGAAAGTTTTGTTTCTAGTAAATTTACTGTTTTCTGTAGCATTTTTGACGGCTTCTCTAGAAAATCGTAAAGTAGTGGCTTTTCGCTAGTATTTCTATGATCACTGTGTATCAAGTGTCAGCAGAATGTTTGAATTATTCAGCTAATTGTTATTCTATAGAGAAACGTTTCATAATAAAGTTTTCTTTCTGAAACCGTGTGGTTTAAAACAGAAAGCTTCTAGACTGTGAGGCTAGGATGTCAACTGCTGTTGTGCTTTAAAGATGTGCTTATATCTTTGATGTCACCTAAACACTTATTATGCCTATAAATGTGATCAAAATACATGAAAAAGTAGCTCATATGAATTACCTTTACAGATATAATGTTTATCGAAGATATGCAGTTGCGGAGCGTATTATGCAAGCGCGTCGACCACAACAAAACCAACAAATTGATCAAGGCAGTTCAAATAATCCAGTGAGTTCTAGAATGGTATGACTTTTTCTATATACGTCGTTAAATGCATGTGTTTTTCATAATCTACCGTCTTCGTTGCTCAGCTAATTTAAATGTACTCTGATGTCGATTCAGAATCAATAATTTTTCCATAACCTACGAGTCACCATTTAGTTGACTAGAAGCAAATATCTATTTTTAATTATCTTAAAAAAAAAATAATTACTGGATACACAAGTATATCTTATTTCAGAGTTTCAAGTGTTGACATATATATATTGCAACACTTGAAACAGGGATTCACATCATATACTCTTCTGTGAACTGCAGTACATGTCGACTTATGTTGATGAAATTCAAATACAAATTACAATTCAGGGTGAAAATCCGCTCACATTCCGATTGAAAACAGTGTAGACAGTTCAATGTAAAATTTTGAGGAATAAATATAAAATAAATAATTAAAGTATTCGTCGATTAAGGTGTAATCATGCTTAGTGAAATGCTGTGGTCACAAGTATTGCCCAGATTAAGAGATGACATGAATGCATGCTTGTTATTTTTTTTGGGGGGGGGGGTCGTCGAATGGATGTCCTTAAAATGATATGAACAGTAAGCAAAGACTTTCGTGCACAGATGTATTAACTCGGTAGATCATTTAATTGTTTTCTCTCTTCTCATGTCACTTTTGTGTATTGTCATCCCCACATTAAGTTGTAGTGCGTCGGTGGCGCAGTGGTTCGAACTCTCGACTACCATGCACATGGTCTGAGGTTCGATCCCCTGCCGACGCACACCCGATATCTATGGTCGGCCTGCAAAATTTGGGCTACCGATATCCATGCTGAAAATTCCATACTTATACCAAAAATACAGTGTGGAATCAAGCTGTAATAAAAAATAAATAAATCTGAAGTCTTGCTTTTTGATTTTTCTTTCTTTTTCATTCAACAGGTCAGCGAATCAGATAGTCTGCAGAACCAATCAGTTAATGAGCCCAGCTCCTCAGAAGTACAAACGCGTGCTAACATGCTTAATGAACGAGAACCAAGACTTACAAGAATAACTGCAAACCTGCGGACAGCAGCAAGCATATCTTATCAGTTCTTTTCAGCGTTAATTTCTTCAATTATTCCGGAACAGCCACCACCTCTTCACTTGGACTGAAAGCTCACATAGTTTCAGAACTAACAGACATAATGTTTGATTTCTTTATTTCAGAGATACTAATATTATAATCATACACTCCTTTACCTAACTTTTTATTTTGGTCCTATTCAATCGTTGCGTCACGAGGTGCCTTTTCATTTATTGCTTACAAAATAATGGACATAAACATACAATAATTCGTTTGTCGCCTACTTCGAAGGCACTCTTTATTCTTCAAATATATTTTACTTTTTGTGTAAATGCTTGTTTTGTAGAAAATCTATCAGCGTAGTAAAATCTGTGTTCTCCTGAGAATGTATATCGTGAACATAAACCAGTGGGCACATGGAAAACAGTTATATGCTAATATGTGCTTCGATCTCCAAGGGGAGGTACATAATTCCTATGTTGTTCCCTTAAGGCTATCATCATTTCTCTGAATGCCAACAGTACATATTCCAGTTGGTTTTATAAATTCCCCAGGAATAAATCCTTTCAGCTTTAGGAACATTATTACAAGTAGATTAGCAAGTTTCCGCACCATGCTGTTCATCAAAAGAAATGGACATAAATGAGGTCATTCAGATGATTCTATATCTGGTGATTGTTCTTGTCTTTCCCATTTTTATGTGTTCTTTTAATGTAATATGGCGATTTAAACTGCAGCACTAAGTGAAAACTTCTACGGTGAAAATTCAGTTCGTTCCTGGACAGTCTTGCAGCATAATCTTTATTTGAGTCAAAGCAAACTCTTAATTTGTTGATCATTTCGGGTTTCAAATGTAAAGCATAAAGTTGACTGCCTTCTTAACCTGTATTCGGTGATAATGCGTAGAATGATCAGTAGAGTAACAGATATAGTTATCGAAAATGCTGGCGAAATCTCACCACGGATAAATGGGGCTCGTGTGACATTTTTCAAATTGTCATCTCCGGCGAAGATGTGATATCCCACTACCGATTAAACGGCGTTTGCATTACACGGTAGTTCGCCCTATTGTGCCTGTGAGACAGACATTGAAAGCGGTAGTTATGAAAAATGTTAGCTGTTTATAACCACAGTTGTTTATGTTAAGTGGTATAATACATCAAGTAATATTGAGGTTAGTTGAGAAAGCTGAGTCAGTCGATGGAGTTTTAAAGCTATGTCAGTTCAGATGACTGGGATACATGATGCACGTGCCAAACCATCACATTCCTCGACGCCCAATGTTAGGTGACATGGGATTAGGTTGGTATAGAGCTAAGGGTTGTCACACTAAAACATGAGATCTGTCCATGAAGTCTTCGACAGGTGTAATTTTCCCGGTCGGGATGATAAGAACCAATGTTTGGCTCAAAATGCTTCTCAATGGCTCATATCTCCTATGCCCACGAGACCGTCATGTTTTCCCATGTTACTCTTCTTTCTCCTGCACATTTGTGCTTATTACAGGTCTTTTGATTATCTTTTTCTCCCATTTGTCTACCTTTGTGTGTTACAATGGGGGGGGGGGGGGCAACTTGAATTACTTCACTTCTGTGCAAAATTCTACTTCAATCAGTGTTTACCAACCGAAGCGTTTTTTCGAAAACTTTGTTATCAAGCTTACTTGCGCCATCTGCTAATGTGATTGCAAATAGCATTATGGAATTGACGTATGTTCCGGATACAAATGTCATTCGCCAGCACATGGTCTCAACGTTACGAAAGTTTACTGAGTTAATTTTGCCTAACAATAACGCTTGAACGCCGCTTCTTTAGCTGCTTAAACTGGGTTCAGTTGTAAAGGACACGTAATGCAATTTATCTCTTGCTCAAAACTCACAATCGAAGTTTTGATGATTTTATGGAGTCAATAGTTTGAAGACCATCTCTCAATACTCAACATATACTGTCGATGTCTCAAGGTAGAATAGAGTGGACATGGTGATTTCCTAATGCATGTAGGTAATATCAGCAGATATGGTTGATTTCAACTCATGTCTCTAACAGATGATCAAATTTAAAGCTTTTTAAATATATGCCGTCTTCAATCGTCCAAGTTCGCAAATATCCGAGCACAAATGTTCAGTCGGCTATAACAAAGTCCGAAGTTGATCTTAAATGACATTGCTGATGAGGACTTAGGTAACGTACAGGATGTATATCTCATCCAATCAGTAACTTGGCAAGCCCTTGACGCATACGCTTAACTGTAGACTAAGAAGTAATCCGCGTCATTTAGTTCTAATCTGAATATTTTCAATACATCTGTTAATTTTGCAGTGAACATCAGTCTGAGATTAGGCCCTGAAGAATACAGCAAATTCCTCAAGCCTTCACTTCAATCCAACCGGTGGGAATTTTAGTCAACTAACTGTAACCTCATTTGCACATATGTATCTCCAAAAAAATGAGAATGCAAAGACTCATCAATGAAAATGAGTTATTTCAAGAAAAATTTCAAGGAAGAGAATGTACAAATAACAATAAAAATAATAATAAGTTATTGAATAAGGCTAATTATTAGACAAAAATTTTATATATAAATATTCAATAGACAATCAGCGTTTCATCCAGATAATACTCCCGATTCCCCACAAAAGCTTTTCATCATCCTGAAAAAAAGGCATATATTTAAAATACCAATAAACACAAAAAAGAACATACACATCCAAAATAATACCGAGTGATATAGTCCCTCAATAAACAATACCGTCCTGTCACACACTGGACTTGCTGATGAATGCCACCCCGTGGCAGTCGATTACACACCACTTAACCTGGAGCCGCTTCCAAGATACAAACGAGTAGTCGGCCAACGAAGTGTCTCCTCGAGATGAATAACCTGTGCTGCATTAGTGTCTACACCATCACGAGCATCTCAGTGAGGCTTCACAGATACATTTGCTCAAGACGTTATCAAATAAGATTCAGAGTCAAAATCAATCGTACTCATGATGCAGATTTCTGGTCTCCTCCACTACACAAACTAGTACAACAAATGCAGTCAGTAATCCATTGAATGTAATTAATGGGAGCGCTTACCCGTCTATTCGGTCACTCTTTAACTATTCATTTCCCCTTGCCTCTCCTTAAACTCCTGTCCCATGCATTGGTCAGTATCTGAGTTTACACAAATACAGTATAATAAACACACGAATGACTACGTTGAGACTTATCGAGAAACAGAGGAGAACTGTCAACCAGCCGAAGATTAAGCAATCCAGTTACTCCCACTATGCCTTTCATTCAATACAGAAAATATCCAGCAGAATAATCTGCTCTTAATATTCCTACTCTATATCTATATACTGGGTATTTTCTAACACATTTTCATAGATGCTTAATGAGCAAAGCCGTGCATCTCATTGTCGCGAAGCTCTATATCAGTTTGTATATGCTTGCTCAATTTTCATCTTCAACCACACACTGATGCATTTCACTCCTGATACAACTAGGAAGAAAGCCCATCATCAACTGAATGACGTGAACCGAGTGCACTCGAAAGATGGGTCTTTACTGTACAAATCAGTCACCTAGGCTCAGAGGAGACAGTTAAGTTGGTTAGCAGAGAATAAGTGCTGGCAAGCCAGATGATGAGAATCATCGTCTGCAGCTCTCAGCAGATCACAACGTACTTCTCCCTGACACAGACTTCTAGTTCAACCGTCACTCTCGTCCTCTCTGGCTTCCATCCTATCACATTCAAACATGAAATCAAATGGATCACATTGAAGTCAACTACCGGATGTATGGCGAGGGAGACTCGTCATATACACAACATAGGCTTCCTTCACGTCGTCCTCACGCTCCTCCAGCTGCCTCAATACAATCTGAAAATCACAACTCACTTAGATTCCTCGCACTCAAATACACCTTAAAACTGTCTTTCAGAGACGAATATCTCTGAGACGATTATGCATATCTTGGAATGACCATAGAAAAAACAAACAAACACCGCTGATAGAATGACAGCATACAATCGGTTATCACCACTGATCCCAATCAGGCGTGCGATTAGATGGACTTGTTACGTCTAGTCATCTCTCTATAACCCTATCATCGACAATATTTCGGTGACTGCCTCGGAGGAGGTCAGTGTTGGTGGTAATGTACACCTGTTATAATCACAGGAAGACTTTTCTACCTTCAGCATCTAGAGGACATCGTCTTCTCGTGTGACAACTCATAGACTACCCTTAATCCTACACAATCAGTTAGCCATCAGTGTCTCCAAGTATCTACGAAATGTGCCTAGCACCACTGAAGTGCAAAATGCTTTTAAACCCTCGCCTGAACTAGTCCTCTCAGGTGAACCGTTAAAAGTAGTAGAAAAGTCCTTATATCCAGGCTGTTGTCTGACTAGTCCTGCAAGGATGAAATCTCCGATTGCACATCAAATGTTAAACAACATCAACCGAACTGAACCACCTCTGCGTTGTCAAACCTTGGCTTTGCAACCACTAGCTACATATGGTTCTACTCTACTTCCATGAAACAAACTCTCACCAAAATGAAGATACACGACGTCTCTGTCCATGTGATTACCAGTGTCTTCACAGGACTACTTACACCTGGTGAGCAGTCCTGAGGTCCACTGACTGATATAGTCCCTCAATAAACAATACCGTCCTGTCACACACTGGACTTGCTGATGAATGCCACCCCGTGGCAGTCGATTACACACCACTTAACCTGGAGCCGCTTCCAAGATACAAACGAGTAGTCGGCCAACGAAGTGTCTCCTCGAGATGAATAACCTGTGCTGCATTAGTGTCTACACCATCACGAGCATCTCAGTGAGGCTTCACAGATACATTTGCTCAAGACGTTATCAAATAAGATTCAGAGTCAAAATCAATCGTACTCATGATGCAGATTTCTGGTCTCCTCCACTACACAAACTAGTACAACAAATTCAGTCAGTAATCCATTGAATGTAATTAATGGGAGCGCTTACCCGTCTATTCGGTCACTCTTTAACTATTCATTTCCCCTTGCCTCTCCTTAAACTCCTGTCCCATGCATTGGTCAGTATCTGAGTTTACACAAATACAGTATAATAAACACACGAATGACTACGTTGAGACTTATCGAGAAACAGAGGAGAACTGTCAACCAGCCGAAGATTAAGCAATCCAGTTACTCCCACTATGCCTTTCATTCAATACAGAAAATATCCAGCAGAATAATCTGCTCTTAATATTCCTACTCTATATCTATATACTGGGTATTTTCTAACACATTTTCATAGATGCTTAATGAGCAAAGCCGTGCATCTCATTGTCGCGAAGCTCTATATCAGTTTGTATATGCTTGCTCAATTTTCATCTTCAACCAC